CACAGGGCATAGAGACACAGGGCATAGAGACACAGGGCATAGAGACAGGTAGAGAGACAGGTCAGAGAGAGACAGGTAGAGAGAGACAGGGCATAGAGAGACAGGGCATAGAGACAGGTGAGAGAGACAGGTGAGAGAGACAGGGCATAGAGAGACAGGTCGAGAGACAGGGCATAGAGAGACAGGGCATAGAGAGACAGGTGAGAGAGACAGGGCATAGAGAGACAGGGCATAGAGACGGGTCAGAGAGAGACAGGGCATAGAGACAGGTGAAAGAGACAGGTGAGAGAGACAGGGCATAGAGACAGGTCTGAGGTCTATATAGAGCGGCGGAGCAGGGTGTGATGTGAACCACAGGGAGCAGCTAGAGTGGGGAGCTGTAATGGCACACCGTGTAATACATGTGACTCACACTTGGAGAACATCAGCGCCATATAGCTCGCTCCCGGCCACCCTCTGAGAGCGGAGCGCTGGCGGAATATTACATCCAGGCGTGTGTGTGTGTGTTGTGTTGGGAGTGTGCGTGATTGCAGCAGTGGGAAATGTGTGAGCGCACATCTGGGACTGCGATTGTGTGTGCGTGTAGCTTCCGCCTTACGACAGTGAAGAATGTGTGTGTATGGTGGTGGCATGGGGGATTGGGTTAGCCTGCACCTGCCCCTAGGAAACGGAAGGCGGAAATTAGTTACCCCCCCCCCCTCCCCGCTTCCAACTGCTTATTAGACCCCCACACTCACCATGCTGGTCCCCCGAATACCCCCAGTGCTAAACAGCTGGAAAACAACCATATGTCTCTGTCAGAGTTGCACAGAAACACACACCAACACCTCTGTGTGTTCTCACATTTTACATTCAGGAAGGTCCAGGGATACGTTTGCTTGAATTTTCCAATATTTGATGTATCTAAAGAAAGACGGGCCTAATATCAGAGTAGTTCGAAATGCGGGACTCCACAGAAAACATACCGGGGAAGCGGAGGTGTGGGGCGACACATATTAAACTAACGAATACATCTATTCTATATATTACAGAGGAACTATTAAAAAAGGAGCAGTCAAGGAAACAGGCAGTTTATAAAGTCACGATACAGTAGTATTCAGTCAGGTAGAAGTCTTTGTTATGGATATACAAAGATGAGAATGCTTAGACACGGAACGGCAGTCACCTAAATGACATTTGCACACATGTAATTAATTCATGCGAGAACATACAGATGCAAAACGGATGCACATGTACGCACATCTGCCAGCTCTGCGCTCACCTGTTAGTCAACTGACGGGGAACAGACAGACACACGTTGCATGCAAAATGCATTCATTTGCTCTGCAGAAGAAGAAAAACAAAACAGCTGCTGCACTTCACTGCCAAACACTCCCACACACACACATTCATATGCATGTCCGCACACATTTTTCTGGGTAAAATGTTTTGTTGCGATACCAGCGGCGTAGCTGGAAATGCATTCATTTATTTAATGTAGTGAAACCGCTGTCGGGGGTTTCTAGATGAGAAGCTGTAGCCAAAACATGGTCATCAATTATTATAAAAAGTGTTTATTTAAAAGATGTAATACAGTATGTTTAGCAAGTTGACATATTCATTAGTGTATGATGCATTCTCCACATTCTCCAAATTCATCCTTGTCCTAACCCTGCACACACACAGTCACACACACACAGTCGTAGCACTAATGGCTGTGCTAGCTGAGTGCTAGAGACACAGAGCAGGCCCGGCTGGCTCGGCAGCAGAGGGAACCATTAGCCAGTCCGGCCCCGGCCCCGGCGAGGCAGCTCTGCTAATCAAACCGGGGCTGTGTCAACAACAGCAGTGGAAATTGGCTCTCACCTAGACGCACGTGCCTCATCTAAATGGGCCCGTGTTTACACTCTCTGCTACCATATACCGAGCAACGACAAGGGGGGGGGGGGGGGGGGGGGGGGGATGTGTAATGTATTGGCCGGATCCGGCTGCAATGTGGGAGCTTTGGGTTTGGAAATGAGAAGGCGAGGAGTGACGGCGAACAGCCTGCATGCACACTAAGAATAGGTACTCTCTCATGAAGCTCACCCTCAATGACTCATTCATCATAGGAGTGATGTCATGCTTCAGACGGCTAGCAATAACCTGATGCTAATGAGCTACATTAGTCAAACCGCTGCTGGTATCCAGAGTGGATTAAAACGCCTGCAAGAGTGCAAAAAGTAGGGCCGAGTACTTTACTACGGAGGTCAAAGGTCAGATTTACTCCTTGGACAGTACTCCGACAGGGAGAGCAGCCGTGTAATGGAGACGTGCTCGGGAAAGGCAGTTGCAGTTAATGACAGGAACAGATGGGAAATGCAGGAAACTTTTAGGCTCGCCACAAATCATATTCAATTTCTCAGATTCGTGGCAGTTCAAACCAAGTTCACTGTTTGCCTTTTCTGTTCCATTTTGTGCAAGGAGGAGGACGTTTGAATTCCTGCTGACTCCTGCGTCTCTTCCACAGAGCTGCCCGTCCATCTGCATTTGCCGACTGGATGTCATGCACACTTGTACATGACGGTCTTTTGTATTTCTCGCTGAGCTCATGGAGAGCGCCGAGGCCTCGGAGTGTGTATGTTTTGTTTTATTCATAAAGCGGAGGTTCCATCCCTCCCGTACGCACACCTGAGAGGCAGGAAGATGGAGAGGGAGCGGGACGAGACACAAAGGGACGTAAGAGGGAGAGAGAGAGATAAACAGAAGCGACACGCAGAAATGCAGACAAGAAAAGGATTGATGGAAGCAGAGCCGCTGGTGCCGCAGCCGGCCTGAGCCCTTTCATTTCTGATTCCATTACGTTTTCCTGTGTCGGAGCGCAAACACCGCTAGCTGGACAAACAGTGCTGCCTGCGCACACACCAGCGGGGGCCCCCGCTCCTTCATGAAAGGCCCCCGCAAATAAGAAAAAAGGGTCAGCGCACCTCCCGGGAAATCAAACAAAAATAATCCGCACATTGCTTCAGATTGCTTATTTAGCAATAAAAGAAGGGGGGGGTTACCACGTGATCGTTTAAACCAATCACGTAGAAGAAAACAGCAGCTGTCACGGGGCAAATATAGAAAAAAAACAACTACCGCGGCGAAAGACTCTCCAGGACCCGAGGAATGAAATGAGACAATAAGTCTAACTGAGTTGGGTGAGTTTAGAGTGAGTCATTCGACAGCTGGACAGCGGTGGGGGGGGGGGAAACACTTGATCACTTATGAAAACTGTGCGAAGCGCGATTGGGTTTTAATAAAGATGCTGGCGAGTGCAGCGAAAAAATATAACTCCCCCCCCAACCTTGAAAAAGCCATCCGGATTCACCGAGAGCTCCAGACTACAAGCCCCAACCATATTACTACGCTGAAATAATTACAAGCCTGGGCAATACATGCAAGCGTCCAGCCGTGTGAGAAATAAACGACGAAATGTGAGCATTTTAGAAGGCTTTTTCATCTTTAATATTCCTCTCGTCTCTCCTTTTTTATTCATCCTATTTTAATCAACAGATTACTGTCACTCGGGGGGAGGGGGAGGGGAGGCCGAGGCATTTATTCTTTTCTATTCTGCTTTAAAAAGGGTTTCTATTCTTTGCTACGAGGTGGGTCCGGTCTGGACGTGGCTCATTAGGGCCTGAGCAGACACTGCCCAGGGTCAAAAGGTCCATGTGTTGAGACATGCTGGAGGAAACCAAGTGGCTGTAAGACTGGGAAGTGGGTCGAAGTGTGCGTACTTTAAAGGAAGGTCAGGTGAGAGTCCTTAAAGGGACAGCTCCCCACAAACGGGAGGACACTCGACCTGCTGAGGACAATCACGATGTTGCCCCCTGTTTTTTTTTAAGGAGGGGCAGAGAGCGCTTGATAAGCACTGAGTGCTCAGTCACTCCACCGATTACGAACCAGAGAGGCTCCTGACTGACGGCAAAGTAAATTAAAAAAAACAAGATGTGACCAGATCCAAAAAGGACCCCGCGGACAGAAACACAGTGTGTCCAGATGTGACAGGAGCGTCATGAGGCCAGTATTGTCCTCTGGGGTCGGGGCCCGTGCTCTCTCTGACTTACTGGCCGTTGGCTTCACATCAATCGGCCAATTATCGGCCCCCGGCCAGCGACGTTTGCCGCGCCAACCCCGGCCCCTTAATCCAATCACCTTTTGGGTGGGGGGAGTGGGTCAGGGGCTGCTCTGACTGGATAACCCGGGGCTGGGTCGCTGCGTCCGTGACCCGCTGCTTTGAATTGGTAATGACGTTAATATTCTCCATATGGCCGTGCATGTCCCCCCCCCCCCCCAAGCATGGAGCCTCTCTGCAGGCTGAGCTGCACCCCAGCCTTAATTGCTGACAGAGAGAGAGGGAGGTTAGAGCCAAAGTAGCACTATCACCCTCCCTGGGGCAAACCTCTCCACGCTGCCACTTTCCAAATCCTGTCTCCCCCCCAGACTCCGGCTTCTCCTGTTGGCTGCCGCGCAGTAGCCCTCGGCACCGAGGTCCTCTTTCTTTCAGCGCTACTTTGTCACCCCGCTCCTTCAGGTTCAAAGAAACTCTTGAGTCGAGAGGTTGGGAATGGCCAGACGGTACAATAACACTCTGGGCTGCAGGATTGTGATGAGAAATGTTTTCAAATATACGAGAAAGAACAGGACTCGGCTGTGTTGCTTCAAGCTACAACAAAAAACACAATATAACTGACCATACTTGTAGCTGAAATTGGGACGGACATGTTGGCACTTTGCACTGAAAGTGAAATATTCAAATGTCTGCCTGCTTTGATTCAGCCTTGATTTCATCCCCATCCTTCTGACTCATACCTCTCCTCTACTCTCTCTCCATTTGCTCCCATCTGTGAGGTGCTTTGCAACATCTCCTGTACTATCCATCTACACACACACACGCACACTCACCTCCTTCACTCCCACCCCTCCAGCTGCAGCCCCAGCCGGCTCCACACAAAGACAGGCCAAATGTATGCTAATGAGAGCCAGGCCAATGGTGG